TTATGTTCGGTCATCCAACCTGAAGGATATGCTGCACCGATACATCCAGCTGGTCCCCCGTTTAGGAAGTGATCTTTGAAATGGACGCGTGGGAAAATAAACATACAAGAAACACTGTTTCCTAATGCATTGACTGCAGTAAGCATTGTCACAAGTGTACCTCTTTCACCTGAGGTTATCACTCCCACTTGCTTTACACCTTTTTGATGAACTTTGGGACATGTTACAATTTGTAACAACATGCCCCATATCGACATGGGGTATAACAATGTCTCCATACTAATTCATCATCAAACAACATAACTCAATGTTATCGTATAATAAGGGGTATTAGCTATCGAAGTCTACAACTAATAAGAAAAGTATTAAAACACAGTATATAAAGAGTAAATAGATATTTCCTAGACACTTTTTTTTAGTTTAGGTATGCAAAAACAGAAAATGTACATAACTTTTTTATTTCTTGACTGATCTTATTCATGTTGCCATTAAAACAAAGCTTGCGCAACGCGTGTTTGATGGTCCATGAATTATCGTCGTCTATTAATCTCAAGAAGAGCTCGAGGCACTGTATCAACTTGCCTCTGTAACAACTAGCCCCGGTCTCCCCTACTTATTTCAAAAACACCTTGCTCTTGTCATGAAACAGTGGTGCTGAGAATAAATCTATAAAAAACACATTTTTCTTATTTATTTAAATCTGAGAATTTTAATATTCTGGAATAAACTTATTCCCAAAAGGAATTTGAATTGATCGTCATATTGTTATGTACAAACAGTTTTTATTACTAACAACATTCCAGTTATTTTATTGTGGATGTTTAATTTGAATGTTGTTCACCATCATCCGGCCAATGTGGTTTTCAAATATTACTTCATGGTAATGATTTCTTAAATGCAAAAGGTCAAGCTGACAATTTCTTTCTAATATTATAAAGTTTTTAAAACTAACAATTTATGTATTGAATCCTTCTTCATAAAACACTTTTCATAACTATTGTCGTTACACATGTACTGAAATAATGAAACACTACGATATGATGAGTAACTGTTTCAAAAATTAAATTATTATTTTCAGCTTCAGTTTGCTACATGTTAATTTAAAACTTTGAATCTTTTAGAAATAGAAAAATGTAATTGTTAAAATAGTTTCTTAGTTGTCACAATTTCTTGTAATCGAAAGAAGTTTCAAGAAAAAAAATATTGTAGATTGAGTTTAGCTACTCAGTCTTATTAGAATAATTCAAACATTTCAATCTTTAGTCAATTTTAGAATATTTCTTTTTTTGTGTGTGTGTGTGTGTCTAATATATTCAATCTTATTCAAGTCTTTGCTAAGAATAGTTTGTGAGAGCATGAGATTTCATAATGTTATTGCCAAAATTGAAAAAAATTAAAAATGTAATACTTGATTAGAAAACATTGTGTTGACAAATTTAAATTAGTATTTTCAGCACAACATTAAGTTCTAATACATTGAGAATTTTTTGCAATCCACTTTAGACCATCTTGCAATATTAAAAGCCCTGGCTTTCATTTGTTGTCATAGTTAGTAGCTTAAACAGTCATCTAACTCTAATTCTCAATTAGTTACTTTATTTTTCCTACATATTAGCTGCTAAATTGCTTGTTGTAAGTGAAAGACTGTGTCCTTGGTAACGAAAATTCAATCTAAGGTTTTCTAGATAGAAAAGTTGTTCACTTTTCTAGGGCCATGAACTAATGATGACTTCAGAAGACCACTGAAATTATTTTACGAGCAGAGAGTACAGTTCTCTCTTAATAAATGAAGTGTTATATTGGTGTTTAAATACTTATGTCTAAAACAAGAGGTTTAAGTAAAATATATATGTGTGAGAAGCGGTTTATTTTTGAAACGTTGTGTTCAATAAATAAGAAGTGAAATTGTAGGTGTCGGTTAATAAATGGAAGATTGCTTTTAATTTTAATAAATGTAAGGTAATGTATTTGGATTATCGTAATTTGAATTCTAATGTTGATGGAAATAACCTTAACAGTGTTATAGAAGAAAAGTATTTTTGTGTTTTGGTTGATCAGTCACTTAAGCCATCCAGATTGTGCTTTTACTAGTGGTAAGGATTTTAGGTTTTCTTTATAGAAATATTGAAAACAAGTCTAAAAAAGTTATAATTTCATTATATAAGTCACTGTTAGGCTACATTTGGAGTATTGTGTTTAGTCTTGTGCTCCTTACCTTAGGAAGGACATTGAATTGTTGGAAAGGTTCAGAGGAGGGCTACTAGAATAACATACCCAGGATGGAAAAGTTGTTACATGATATCAGGTTAAAATATCTGAAATTGTTTTCTTTTGAAAAAAGAAAAGCTAGAGGAAGAAATCTGAGTGAAATGTATAAGATTGTTAAGGAAATTAATAGTATTAATGTGTTATATTTCTGTATTTAATGGTGAGAATGACAGGCAAATATAAAGTTTGGCAGGTTTAGAGTGACCTTCAGCTAATAGTTTTATTTTTCTAACAGTTTAGTTGGCTACCTTCAGATGTAGTGGAAGCAGTTAATTTAAGGGAGTTTAAGAGAAGGCTTAATAAATATTTCAATGATAAGGACGACTTTGTGCCCTCCCCCATTAAATGTTATGGGTTAATAGTCAAATCAAACTCTCTATACACATGACAGTTGATAGAAGTTCGATGAATTACTTAAACATTTCTTGAGAAACAAGTTCTGTTGTGTGTTTATAAACATTCATTTATTTTTTACATCTCAAAGGAAAATGTTACACTTCATAATTTTTGCAGTAAACCGAACAAGATTTAATTTGTAACTTTTCATAAAAAAGAAACCAGATCAAACTTCTTGGATTTCACATATTTTACATGAACTTCGTCAAACCATTATAAGATTACCCTAGCAA